ATGAAATAACAGCAATGATTACAATGGTAAAGTTGTGTGGCATAGGTACATATTTTGGGAAATTGGGTAGCACTAGATACAGTGCGAATTTCAAGCACTAGGTAGGAAACTATGAAGATGAAATTAGGTACTTTTTGGTTTTGTTTTTGAATAAGGCAAAAGTTTGACAGCTTTTCAATTCTTCGAGAGCGAGTTCCATAGACCAGGTCTCTTTATTTGCATAGTGTTTACATAGATTAAGTTTGACTCTGGGGGATATCAAAGAGATATTTATATTTGGTGTGGTCATTATGTGTTCTATTACAACTGTCCAAGAAGAGTTTCAGAATTTAAGAACAGGGTTTAGTAAATGTAATTGACACAAGAGAATATGTGGAGTGAGGTTATGTTTAGCATGTTTAGGGATTTAAACAGAGGAGCTGTGTGTTGTTTGAAAGCCGAGTTTGCTACTTGTTCTGATAGCAGATTTTTGCTGGGTGATGATGAGCTTGAGGTAGTTTGCAGAGGTTGAGGCCCATGCACAGATACCATAAATAAGATAGGGACAGATTAGCGCATAGTATAGTGAGAGGAGAGCAGAGTTTGGAACATAATATTTGATATCAGAGAGTATACCAACCGTTTTTGAGACTTTCTTGGTTATGTGTTGTATGTGGGTGCTGAAGTTGAGTCTCTTTTCTAAGTATAGGTCAAGGAACGTTCCATCAGTTTTATTGCTGATGTTAACAATGTCTGTCTGAAGCTGAATTGCATTTGATGATTTGCTTCCAAATAAGATGTAGTGGGTCTTTTCTATGTTTAGTGTGAGTTTGTTGGTTGACATTCATAAGTGAACTTTTTTTTAGATCATTGTTTGCAACATTATTAAGTGTGTGTGCGTTTGGGTTTGAGTAGATGAAGGTAATATCGTCAGCAAATAATATAGGCGTAAGAATGTTAGAGACATTAGACAGATCATTGATGTATATATGAAATAGGGGAAGTCCTAGGATGCTGCCCTGTGGCATCCCTACGGTTAATGGTAGTGTGGGAGAGGTTATATCATTGATGGCTATATAGTGGTGTCTGTCACTAAGATAGGATCAGACATAGTTCAGGGCCTGGCCTCGGATTTTCATAATGGTGGAGTTTAAGTAAGAGGCAGTTATGGTTAACAGTATCAAAGGCTTTTCTTGCGTCAATGAAGAGTCCAATCGGAAACTCACTTTTGTCAAGGGCTGAGTAGATTAAGTCAAAACACTAACAATTGTATCATTGGTACTCCTTTGGGAGCGGAAGCCAAACTGACAGGGATTTAGTATGTTGAATTTTACGAGATAGGATTAGAGCTGTTTGTAAATAATTTTGTTCTAATATTTTTGACAATACGGGTAGGTTTGATATTGGTCGATAATTGTTTATGTCTGTTGGATTGCCTCCTTTATGAACTGGCATTACTCGTGCTTTTTTGAGGATATCTTGGAAGGTATGACACTAGAGATTTGTTGAATAGCAAAGCTATGGGTGGTGCAAGAGCATGGGAGACACTCTTGTATACCATAGACGGTATTTTACTATTTTACTAATGTTCTCAGCTTTCGTTTTTAGTGAGTGAATGATGGACACAACACCTGTAGGGCTGACTGGTGAAAGGAGAAGAGAGTTTGGATAGCTACCTGAAAGATATGTGGTAACATGTGTCTGAGTCTGTGGAATTTTTCTGACAAGATTAGCACCAACCGATGAAAAGAAGCTATTAAATTCAGTTGCTGTTTCTAGATCTGTTGCAGATTACAACCATCCTTGGAGATTTTTATGTGATTATGTGAATGTTGTTTAGATCCAAGGATGTTAGAGATGGCTCTCCATGTGATTTTCATGTTGCCTTTTGCTTCTTTGAATCTACTCTTATAATAGGTAAGTTTTGCGTTTCTTATTATACAGGTAAGCACTGACGAGTACCTCTTAACTACGTTCTTTGTAACTAGGCCAATCATATTTTTTTTCATATTCATGTTTCTTGTCGATTGCTCTAATTATGCCATTTTGGCCATGTTCTCTTCTTGGACAGATGTAATAGGACCCATTATCACCACACCAGAAATAAATATCTCTTTGATATCCCCAGAGTTAAACTTAATCTGTGTAAACACTCTATGCAAATAAAGGGACCCAGTTTATGGAACTCACTCCCTACTGAATTGAAAAGCTGTCCAACTTTTACTTTACATCATTCAAAATCAATACTAAAAAGTACCTAATTTCATCTTCATAGTTTTTCACTTTTTGCCTTAAAATTGCACTGTATCAATTGCTACCCAATCTCCCAACCTTTATGTTCCCAATTTGAACATCTTTACCATTGTGATCATTGCTGTTTTCTTATATGTGCTGCCAATCTGTTGTATGGTGTTTATAAATCTTGTTTATCTGTATCTTTTGCTACCCAGTCTCCCAATCTTTATGTACCCAATCTGAACATCTTTACCATTGTGATCATTGCTGTCTTATATGTGCTGTCAATCTGCTGTATGGTGTCTATTAACCTTGTTTAAATTACTAATCAAGCTGTCAATGTAATCAATCAGAGCTTTAATATAACAATGTGCTTTAATATACTTACTTATCTCTCTCATCTCATTTTTCTCTTGTAATGTATCTTTATCATTTATCAATTCTGATTGAAATTACCTACTTAAAATTATCTGCTAGATTAAGGACCTGCCCGAAACGCTGTGCGTACTAGTGGCTTTACAAGAATGTAAATACTGTACTATCCAATGTATTCTCACAAACCCAATATACCTTCTTGTATATATATAAATAAAATAAAATAAAATAAAATAAAATTTGTGAGCCAGGGATTGTTTAACCTTTTGTCAGTTACTTGCTTGGTGAGGAGAAGACAATGAGTGTTGTAAAGGCTTAGAATTTTGGAAAGGAAGAGGTTAGTTAATAAATTTATATCCTGAGTATTATTAAATTCAGATTCCCAGTTTATGTGGAGTGCATTTGTGAGATTGCCTATTGCTGCGTCACTGTGCAATCTAAAGGTCAGTTTCTTGTTAGCTGGTGGTGTTATGGCCATGTTCGCTACGAGGAAGGTAGGATAGTGGTCAGTTGTTCTGTCAGTGATTATACTAGATGTAAGGGGAGCTGTTATGTTAGTCCATAAATGATCCAAGGTAGTAGCAAATGTTTGAGTGATTCAGGTGGGCTTGGTGCTTGTGGGGATAAGCATACAGGAGTTCATGCTGTTTAGGAAATAATCGACTTGAGGGGGTTATTTGGTTGACATAGGTCAATATTGAAGTCTCCTCTTAGAATGATATGATTTTTGTTGAGATTGTTGTTCATGATAAGATTCCTTAGGTTATCTGAGAATAAAGCTGCTGTATATCAGTACTGGGAAATCAATAGATAGCTCCAATAGTCAAGGAGGATTTAAGGGATTTAATCGAGAACTGAGCAAAGGTATATTCACAGTAGTCGTCTCACTAATGACACTATTGGAGATGAAGTTATCTTGGTAATATATAGCAAGGCCACCGCCTTTTTTATTAGGCCTAGAGTTGTGAATTGCTTTATAACCAGCTAAATTGTAGAGTTGAGTATAGTCTTTACTTAGCCACGTGTCTGTTAAAATAATATACGATTGTTTAGTACCCAGTGCTGTGAGTAGTGCATTTATATCATCAAAATGTTTACCAAGTGATCTAACATTTTGGTTGTAAACTGATGAGCAAGTGTTATTTGGAGTTTATTTTTTAAGGTTTACTGGGTAATATCTGCAGTAATGGTGATGAATATGTTGGTTATCATAAATTTATGATAGCAGATTTCGTTCAGGATCAATATCAGCTTACATATAGATGCAGTGGGGTCTAGATACAATAAGACAAGCAACTACAGAACAGTTAAATATTAATCTGCTGTAAAAATAGAGTAACTAAAGCAAAATTACAACAATAAATGCAAATACACATATAATAGAAACAATTAGAAGTACAATAAAGATCGCTGTAGATAGACAAGAGGTGAACAGAAGTTAGGTAAAAAAGAAAACAAAGAATCAATAAAGATTGACAAGAATAATGTACAATAAGACTAAAAATAAGTTGAATAAAGATAGAACAACATGACAGTGACTCTGTAAGCTGGTTACAGCTGGCAAACACAATCATTATGGTCGAGGGAGAGGTGGTCGAGGAGAGGTGGTCGTGAGGGAGGTGGTCGAGAGGGAGGTGGTCGAGGGAGAGAACTAAGAGAGAACTCATCTTGGGTACAGATACGCATGAAGATTCAGGATGGAAACAACAGCTGAGCAGTTGAGTCTGTGACGGCTCCTAGAGACAGTGTGCACACCTTATACACATTAGAAGTATGACTGATGTGATAAACACAACATTGCTGAAGTGAGCGACATATACAATACGTCAATATAGATGATGATCTTAAAGTGTTGCCAGATTTTGTACCCGCAAGATAACGAAAGATTAAGAGTTGGTAAAGATTTATCTCCATGTCTGACTGTCCATTCACCTGAGGGAGTCAAGCACGTATTATCTGTGTGTAGTAGGACTTGCATAACTGTCTCAAGTAGGCGAGTCCTCATTGACAACTTTTTCCTTGTCATCAAGTAATCTGACACTCTACGAGATAAACAAACATCGACCTTCATTTAATCTTACGATATCTTGTTGGTACAAAGTGCGGGTAAAAAACAGTATCTGCAGTGACAAATATGTTTTTCCTACCTCTAACAATGTGGGGGGGGGGGTCAATATACCTGAGTGACCCCCACATATAGTGGTCACTATTCCATACTTGTCGCGTCTCTCCTGTGGCGCAATGTATCAAGTTGTGTTGTATGTGGTGGGAGTACCAGTGTCACCACACAACACACGGGTGTATTCTTCCTCTTGGTGGGTACAGCATATGTTGCTGAGGGAGGGTGTAAGGGGGTAATAATAGGGGGGGTGGTGGAGATAATAACAAGGGGGGTGGGGGCTGAGGTAATGACAGGTGAAGCAGGAGGGGCGGCGATAGCCTCCTGGCGCGTGCAGTGACTCAACGGGTTTTTTTTATAGTTCTCGTGTAATAATTCGGTACAAACTAGAATAGTTTTTTTGTGTGTTGGTGTACACACCCACTATTGTGTTGGTGTACACACCCACTATTGTGTTGGTGTACACACCCACTATTGTGTTGGTGTACACACCCACTATTGTGTTGGTGTACACACCCACTATTGTGTTGGTGTACACACCCACTATTGTGTTGGTGTACACACCCACTATTGTGTTGGTGTACACACCCACTATTGTGTTGGTGTACACACCCACTATTGTGTTGGTGTACACACCCACTATTGTGTTGGTGTACACACCCACTATTGTGTTGGTGTACACACCCACTATTGTGTTGGTGTACACACCCACTATTGTGTTGGTGTACACACCCACTATTGTGTTGGTGTACACACCCACTATTGTGTTGGTGTACACACCCACTATTGTGTTGGTGTACACACCCACTATTGTGTTGGTGTACACACCCACTATTGTGTTGGTGTACACACCCACTATTGTGTTGGTGTACACACCCACTATTGTGTTGGTGTACACACCCACTATTGTGTTGGTGTACACACCCACTATTGTGTTGGTGTACACACCCACTATTGTGTTGGTGTACACACCCACTATTGTGTTGGTGTACACACCCACTATTGTGTTGGTGTACACACCCACTATTGTGTTGGTGTACACACCCACTATTGTGTTGGTGTACACACCCACTATTGTGTTGGTGTACACACCCACTATTGTGTTGGTGTACACACCCACTATTGTGTTGGTGTACACACTCACTATTGTGTTGGTGTACACACCCACTATTGTGTTGGTGTACACACCCACTATTGTGTTGGTGTACACACCCACTATTGTGTTGGTGTACACACCCACTATTGTGTTGGTGTACACACCCACTATTGTGTTGGTGTACACACCCACTATTGTGTTGGTGTACACACCCACTATTGTGTTGGTGTACACACCCACTATTGTGTTGGTGTACACACCCACTATTGTGTTGGTGTACACACCCACTATTGTGTTGGTGTACACACCCACTATTGTGTTGGTGTACACACCCACTATTGTGTTGATGTACACATCCACTATTGTGTTGATGTACACATCCACTATTGTGTTGATGTACACATCCACTATTGTGTTGGTGTACACATCCACTATTGTGTTGGTGTACACATCCACTATTGTGTTGGTGTACACATCCACTATTGTGTTGGTGTACACATCCACTATTGTGTTGATGTACACATCCACTATTGTGTTGATGTACACATCCACTATTGTGTTGGTGTACACATCCACCATTGTGTTGATGTACACATCCACTATTGTGTTGGTGTACACATCCACCATTGTGTTGATGTACACATCCACTATTGTGTTGGTGTACACACCCACTATTGTGTTGGTGTACACATCCACTATTGTGTTGGTGTACACATCCACTATTGTGTTGGTGTACACATCCACCATTGTGTTGATGTACACAATACATATTGTGTTCACATATGTGGTAAAATATAGTTCAAGTAGGACTACAAATGCTGGTTAAAACCTGGAACTAGATTAATGTGATAATACTTGTATAATGAATGCAGTATATAAGTAATATACAAGCAATATAAGTAATTACAGTATTGCACTATATAAGTAATATACAGAATAATATATTCTACAAAGTAAGATACAACTAGCATGCACTATAAAAAAAAGATGAAAAGGATTAAAATCTAAAATGATGGCTTACCTCTGGTCCAGATAGCCTATGAACCAAGTCCTAATGTGGGTGGATGGTATATCAGGTCTCTCTCGCTAATGTTTCTCTCTCAATGTTAATATTTCCTTGCAATAGGCAACTGTATGCTATTGGTTGAATAAAATGCAAGTACTGTTTATATTTCACCACATCAGTACTTTGTACGTAATTGATTAAAATGATAAGTCTTCAAATAGTGGTTCACAAAATCTGCCTGATTTTGCTACACATATCTCTAGGCTAGCTCTTTAAATAGCTATTGTAACTAAAATTAAGGTAACTGCAACAATGACGGTAACTAGTTATATATCATTAGCATGATATGAAAGAATGATTCAATTAAACTTGAGGTAATGTTATCATATGATTATGCAAGAGGTTAATTGATAAACTTGATCAACTAGTCTACTTTGTTTGAATATAAGCGAGTATGCTTTTCTTCACTGTCGAGGGGGGGGGGGGGAGGTTGAAAAATGTACTCTCCAAAGTTTATTTTCACAATTTATTTTGGTCTGACGCCTAGGGATGCGTTTCGCAAGGTCCCTCCTTACAGTCTCAGAGTGATGGCGCCGGACCTTCCTGTCTCTCTGCCTCCTCCAGTAGGGGACCAGGTTGTTGCTAGGAGAAAGATTTACGATTACTTATATACTGTAGTTGAAAACGGTTATGTTGATATAAAGTTTATTTATAGGATTAAGATTATAGTGATTTAAGGATGATTAAGTGTTACTTTGATATGATTCATTTCTTTATATAAGGCTTGTGATGTCACCGATCGACGTCACTTAGCTGATTAAGCGATCTATGGTGGGAGCCCGCATGTAGCTGGCTTTCTTTTGAAGAACCCACGTGGTTTGCCTATTTATAGATAGGACTCGTGTGGTCCACTGTCCAAGAGGTCCATGTATGGTACCTACATACATTAAGATTTATATATCTCATGGTATTGGAATTTTCCAAAACATCCATCATTGTGTTGGTGAACACATCCACCATTGTGTTGGTGAACACATCCACCATTGTGTTGGTGAACACATCCACCATTGTGTTGAACACATCCACCATTGTGTTGAACACATCCACCATTGTGTTGGTGTACACATCCACCATTGTGTTGGTGTACACATCCACCATTGTGTTGGTGAACACATCCACCATTGTGTTGGTGAACACATCCATCAATGTGGATGTGTACAACTAATAGGCGCTCGTAACACAAATATATATGCTACTCACGATAACCACTCACATAATCCAGTGAGAGGTTTCCACTGCTATAGTGTGGCGGCTCTACCATGAGACATCGCCACTTGCTGAGGTGGTCCTGGATTTCTTCAGCTTCAACTGACCTGCAGAACAGAACTGCCTTTGCCCCATTCGCTTGAACCAATAACTCAACTCAACTCACAAATCGACATCTAGTCATATGTCCTCGGCCCTCCACACAACAAGCTCTTGTGCGTGCTTCAAGGCCATTCCCGGCTCGCTTCCGGTCACCATTGACGACATCAGAGCTGCCTTAGGTGACACTCAAAGAAGAACCCTCCATCTGGCGTCCCAGAGGTCTCGATCAGCCTGTTTCCAACATAGACACATTCACACATAAAATACACAATCATGAACACTTCCGTTGTCCCATGCATTTGAGAGAGTACTTTCTAAAAAAAAAATTCCCTGAGGGGCGAGTTTATTGGTGCAGCGCCACTCATTCTGAGTGGTCATACCGCCATAGCAGCATGTGCAAAAGTTTCCAATAGGACGAAAATCCGTTGGATTGTTCATTCTGTCACTTGTACCCAGACACAGCTGGGACTTGTTTAACTGTCTCAAGTGAACAGCTTCTCAAACAAGAATATTAACATTCGTCAACCCTTAAAATCTTACGTTATCTTGCGGGTGCAAAATGGGGGAATCTTTTAAGAACAGTATTTTATGTTTGATATTATATTTTCCTAACTCAAACAATGTGGGGTTTATTATTCTACACATATTTCTAATGTCTCACAGATGTTCACATTCTCTCAGGTAGTGGTCAAGGCGGTGTCCATCACTCTCCTCACAGATTCTGCAACTCCGCTGCTCAACTGTTGTTTCCATTCCGAATCTCCATGGATATTTGTATCCAAGACGTATTCTCGCTATTACTGATTCTCTCCCGCGTCCTCCTTTTCGTCTATAATGATTGGGATTGCCAGCTGCAACCATGTTGTACCAGCGTACAGATTCACTGATTTAGGCTTCTATCCTCCTTTCCTAGGTTACCTTGTCACGGTGATGTTTCCTGATAATACCTCTAATTTGTAGAAGAGTCTTGGGTATGAAGTATTCAATGTAGTCACCTTCAGCGCCTTCAGCAGCCGGCACATCCGCTCGTTCATTTCCACAAATTCCAACATGGGAGGGGATCCACAGAAACTTGGCGACTCTTCCCTAATTGGTTAGTACTCTCACAGCCTCTTGATTTCAGTGACTATATCAAGATTTTCTACCAGATGTTTACTTAGGCTTTGTAGTGCTGCTTTATAATCAGTGCAGATCACTGCCACGTTAGTATTTCGTTCAAGGAATCTTAACGCCATAACAATGGCAGTTAGCTCTACTTGCGTTGAAGAGGCATAGTTCTCAATACGCGTTTTTTCTTCATTTCCACGTTGAAAGGAATTATTCCTAATTGCAGTGTATGCTGCACCAACCCTGACATTGACAGGATTAGATGACCTATCGGTGTAGAATGGATCTAATTCATCTCCGGCTTCTTTATAAATTGGCTCGAGATACTTGTGCCTCATGTCTTGTGGTATTATGTTGGACTTTTTCGTTGTCATCTCATTGGTGATAATCCTGCATGGGTCATCCTTCCAGGGAGGTAACCTCTCTACAGGCATGAGCTCACGGGCTTGCTCGAGCAGGTGAAGTTCTGTGGTACAGCAGACTGTAGCAGAGGTAGCAGACTGATGTGATGCCATTTTTTGCTTCTACTGTTTCCCCCCTGTAAATAGTACAGAACTCAGTTTTTTCTTGGTAATATCACTGTAATAGGGATCTCTGGCTATTTTAATTACAAGCTTAGCATTCAGTTCCTTAATTCTGCTTTTAACACTGGGGAGGGACAAATCCTCTAGTAGATTAGATATTTTGATAGTTCTTAGGATTCCAAGAATGATTGTCATGCCTTCATGTTGAATGTTTTCATGCCTTTTTATATCACTTTGGGATGGTCTTATCAGGAGAAAGTGCCAAGCCATTACGACTATGTAGCTTTGGGAGTAGGTGCACAAAACTGGTGCGGTATAATCAATGACGGAGCGCACATTGGCTGTGTACATCATTTTAAGGATGGCAATAGAGGCTCCATGCTCATTCCAGGTCAGAGCTTTCAGCGCCCTGAGTAGACTTTTGCATGTTCCTATGAGTTGGTTGAGCTCCTCTTTCTTCCCCTTTTTAGAACTGACAGTGACGCCAAGGTACCGATAGTGGTTAACACATTCAAGTGTTATACCATTAATTAGTAGTTCTTCACTTTCTCCCCGCTTGTGATGAGAGTATGCTTTTGTCTTGTTTGTGGAGAGAGTGAAACCCAGCTCAACACATTTCCTTCCCAGGAGTTCAATGGACTGTTAAATTTTCCCAAGATTGGGGTTTGTATTAGAACGTCATCTGCATACCCCACTTGTCGTGTTGCTTCCGGAAATTCAGTATTTGCAATGTCGTTCACAAGTATGCTGAATAATGTGGGGCTTCAGACTCCTCTTTTGGGGGTCCAGAGTTCCATATTCATTGTTCTTGAGACTGCTCCGTTGAAGCAGACATTGGCTTCCCTCCCTGTGAGGTAGTCTTCAATCCATTTTATGTCTCCCTTTTACACCATGCATGCAAGCTCTTCCAGGATCGCAATCCCCTGCACTTTATCGAAGGCTCCTTTGATGTCAACAAATACTGAATACTTAACTGTGTCATTAACCAAGTAATTAACTATACAATTTGCTATGCTCCGTCCTTTAACAAATCCATTGATCCCCTCCCCCAGCCTGACTGTTTCGTGCAACAGTTGGTTTAGGATGATCCTTTCAAGCATCTTGCATGGGCATGCCACGAGACTGATAGGTCTGTAATTGCCAGGGCTTCGGTATGGGAATAATTATTGCGAGTTTCCATTGTGCAGGCAACTCTCCACTTAGGAATGATTTATTAAACAGGTGGAGTAGTGAATTCCCAGACACTTCACACAGTGCACCGAGTATGCTGTAGGTGATTCCATCTTCACCAGGTGCAGGTAAAGGTGCGTTTACCTTTTGTCATATCCCCCTTACTTCCTGGGCTGTGATTGGTTGCCCATACTCGTCATCACTAGTCTGTGCTCTTGTTATCTTAATTCTTCTGTCATTTTGTCGCAGGAGCTGTTCCCTGCTTTACGGTCTCGTTTCATGCAGGTCGGCGTTCAATCCCCGACTGTCGAAATGGTTGGGCACCATTCCTTCCCCCTCCCTTCCCCGTCCCATCCCAAATCCTTATCCTGACCCCTTCCAAATGCTATGCAGTCATGGCTTGGTGCTTTCCCCTGATAATTCCTTCCTTCCTTCCCTGCTTATTTCTGCAGAAAGGAAAGAGGAGGATGCTGCATCATTCCACTTGTGTTTTAGTTCCTCAGCCTTATACCCTAGAGGTCTTTGTGAGCCGCAGGCCGGGCTACTGCTCCCATGAGCTATCTAAATTTTTGCCCCACACTTGTCTTGCAAATGTTTCTCTTCCATTGGAGCTAGTAAAGTCAAGTCTTTCCCGCTCTTTAATGTTCTCTTCCCTGGCTACTTGACACAGTTTTAAACAGCTCTTGACTGCTGTCAGTGGGATGTCTCCGGAACTCTTTACTCATGTCTCTTACATTTGCATTGATCATCTGTATGTAATCGTTCTCATGCCATTTTATATTCTTCTGAGAGTTACTTCGCCCAGTCGTACGGCGTGGAACTCTGATGCAACTCTCAATTTGGTTACTAAGGTCATCAAAAAATTTATCAATGTTTTCTGGGATCTCGTATTCCGTGAACCAGTCACTCATCTTGTTTATAAAGTGCGATCTCATATCTGCTCCGAGTGATAGCCTGTTTATTTTATTTTTTGTCTCTTTCCTTCTCTTGCCCATGTCGACGGTGGTAATCAGTGCCCAATGGTCACTACATAAAGTGTGTACAATGTGTGTATTGGCATCCGTGTCCTGTGCATTCAGCAGGAGAGCATAGCCTAATCTTCCTCCTCTGAGGCGAGTTGACTGTTCATCACCCAGGACCCAGAGAATGTTCACTTCCTCTAACATTGAGTGACAGTTTCCGTCCATTGACATTGGGCTGATGACAGTTGGCATCAAAGTGTGGGTGCCTGGCATAAAGGTCACCTCCCAGCAGGGTAGGTTCTTCATTAATGAATTCAGGTAGTGTGTCAAGGTCAAGTTTATTCTGTGGTACATAAAGGTTGACTTTCTAATTTATTCCTACTACAATTTGGGTCAAACCACCCAAATTTCTGTTTGTGTACACATCCACCATTGTATTGGTGTACGCATCCACCATTGTGTTGGTGTACACAGCAACCATTGTGTTGGTGTACACATCCACCATTGTGTTGGTGTACACATGCACCATTGTGTTGGTGTACACATCCACCACTGTGTTGGTGTACACCGCCACTAATGTGTTCATGTAACAGCCACTACTGTATTAATGCACACTGTGTTGATGTACAGTATGGCAGCTCACTCTCGCTACTCGGGGTATTACTCCCTCCTCTCACAGTGCCACTGTTCACTTAAGGGAACAAACCTCAATCACTCACAAGGAAGAGTCCCTCAAAACCGGCTTTGCCCCCGCCGCGAGTAAGCCCGGGTCTTCCATGGGTGTATCCGCAGATCGCTGCCGGCTTGCCCGACATACAAGTTGAAATAGCCTAAGATCGCCAATTTGACCAAAGCTCCACTTAAGGTAGATAAATTTCTCGTTATGTCCAGTGGTACACTTGTTCCAGTCTGCTAATTACTTATTTGTGTTCAGTGTTCAGTCTAGCCCCAGGAAAACATATAGAGGATGAAGGAGTGAAACAAAACATCATGTAAAGAACATGATCCATTTACTGGAATTAAGAGTTCAAAGCTTAAGGCCTAAAAATATCTCGACTGGTTTTATATGGCAACACTCGTCGATGAAAGTCCTCGACAATATGGCAACATCCAACCGCATTTCTAGTCAGAATTTTTTTCACTAGGCTATCATTTCCTTTTAAGTACACACCCACCATTGTGTTGGTGTACACATCAACCATTGTGTCGGTGTGCACAGCCACTACTGTGTCGGTGTACACAGCCACTACTGTGTCGGTGTACACAGCCACTACTGTGTCGATGTGCACAGCCACTACTGTGTCAGTGTACACAGCCACTACTGTGTTGGTGTAAGAAACTCTGCCCATTTGTCTGTGCCTAGTCCGGGAATCGAACCCGGGCCACAGGATTACGAGTCCGCGCTATCCACTCAGCTACCAGACCCCACTATGTCGGTGTACACAGCCACCTACCACTGTGATTGTGTATATAGCCATTACTGTGTTAGTGCACACACACATCTGCCATTTTCTCGGTGAACACAGTGCAAGAATATGTGTAGGAATGTACCTCTAGGAAAAAACTGCAAGATAGTGAGATCATGCACTCCTTGACCACCCGCCCACGAGTTCTGGGAAGAGACGTCCGGTCCCTTTGCACCCACCCGTTGCCTAATATTCTGGTTGTTGTTTTAGATTCAGTTACTCGGAACAAAAAGTTTCAGGCAGCACGGAATATGGTGAGCCCGTCGTACTTCCCTGGCACAGGAAATGTGC